TCACTCTCAGCCTCTTTTTTAACTCAAGTAGGACCACTTTATTGGCTGCCTCGGCTTGGCCGTTGGTTTGGGGATGTTCAATAGAACTAACCCTATAAACAATGTGCAAGCCTGAATAGAACCTGACTAGTCTCTTATCTACAAATTGTTTGCCATTGTCCCTAACGATGAAGTTAAAGATTTCAAACTTGCAAACAATATTCTTTCATACGAAATATTGGACCTGTTGAGTGATTATTTTGATAAGGGGCTTGACTTTAATCTATTTGGTGAAGTAATCAATGATTACTAACATGTATTTACATTGTCCTTGTGCTGGGGAAAGGAGTCGACTATGTCCATGCCCCACATTGTGAATGACCAGATAGATGTGATAGACCGTAGTTGCTCGGGGTGCGAGTGTAGTACCGATCCGTGGGTTTAACAATCATAACACTGTTGGACGTATTTTTGGTAGTCGGCTCAAAGTGTCGACCAATAATGGCCTACTCTTATGACTCTGGCGACCATTGTTCATCCGCCTGAGTGAATACCACAAATTCCCTGATGTAGCTCCTCCATGACGTACTTGGCTCGTGAGAGTGGGATACATTTTAGTAATGGTGTTATGACTTATCTTTTGAAGAGTTCGTCATTTATTAGGAGGAACCATGCTGCCTTTCTTTTAAACATTTTGGTTTCTTCCGAATTAGCTGGTTTTGTTCCCTTGACAAGGTATTCCCTGAAAGGTGTCGTCCAACATGGCTATTTGTCGACTTCGTGACATTGCAACTCGTTGATCGATAATTTGGTTAAAGTTTGTTGGATGATTATTTTAAGGTGGTTATTGTGCTTGGAGTTGACAAGTTTGGACAATCGGTCGACCTTGACTTATCCATTCGGCTAATGTGCTTAATTTTGACTTCTTCAAACCCAACTAACAGCTTTGTTACTAGAAAGTGATACTTTATCAAGTGTGGGTCGTTTACTTGGCATGCTCTAGAAACCTGCTCAATCGTTAGCTTAAAATCACTCATACACTTGACCCTTTCAGCTCCCATTTCTTTTGCTAATCGGAGCCCAACTATGAGAGTCTCGTATTCTACTTGGTTGTTGGTGGTTCTAAAGCAGAACAATAGGGATTGCTTGAGATTGAGATTTCCAGGTCCTTCCAAGACGATACCAGCTCCACCTCTTTTTTCTTTTGACGAACATACTACATACAAGGTCCACCATGCTCTTTCCGTTTCTTCTATCGAGGTCATCTCGCTTATGAAATTTGTCAAGTATTGTGCTTTAATTGGTCCTCTTGGCTCGTAACAAATATTGTGTTCAAATAATTCGATCGACCATGCGATCGTCCATCCGACGAGTTCCGATTTCCGAAGTACCTTAGCAACGAGGTAGTTGCTTTTGACGACTATTGGGTGGTATGGTCTTAAATGCTTGGCTACGGTTACAAAGTGAATGCTACTTTTCCAATTTGTTAGTATCGCGTCTCTGCCTAGATGGAATTTTTCTCTTTCCCATGCTCTTGGACGAGGACCGCGCTTATGGTCTTTTTGGTTACCACCAAGTACAATAGAAAAGGTATTCTCGGTTATATACTTTGTAGAATTGGGGCGAAGTGAGGTGTTCCTTCAGACTTCTAAAAGTTCTTTCATTGCCTCGTCCCAACGAGCTTTTTGGCCTTCTTTAATACCTTCCCAATGGGTTGTATCTTTTTGGCCAACTTGGGGAGGAAACACGCCAATGTCGTTGTCTGTCCAACTAGTCTTTGTATATCCTTTATGTCCTTGAGCTTTTTCATGTAAATAATTGTGTGGCATTTGTCGGGGTTTGCTTCTATCCCTTAGTATGTCAGCATGAATTCTAAGAACTTCCCACCTTCTCCTCCGAACACATACTTCTCAGGGTTAGCACTACTAGATTTTATCACCATATCATTCACATAGACCTCCATGTTGCAGCGATCTGTTCTCAGAACATTTTATCCATTAGGCGCTGATATGTGGTCTCTGAATTCTTCAATCCAAATGGCATTACTTTGTAGTAGAAGTTCGCGGTTTCAATCATGAAGGTCGTTTTCAACTTGTCCTCACGGTGCATGGGTATTTGATTGTACCTTGAGTAAACATCCAGAAAGCCAAGGAGCCGATGACCGACTGTTCCATCCACCAACTGGTTGATGTTCGACAATGATATGACAGTCCTTGTCCGTGAAGGTGATGGTTGACATAAAACATTGACGTGTTGTCGGTTTTTCCATAGTTCTCACAACTCTTAGGTGTCTTTTCTTGACGGCGTTGAAGTTACTCTCCTGTAAAACTTCCCGCGATGCTGTTGATCATTCCTCTCAAATGACTTCGCACTTCGTCGCTCTCTAGGTTCTTCTGTCGCTTTCTATTGTCCACCTCCTTGTAATCCGTGGTCACCGTCCATGACTTTGTTGGCCATCCTTCTTTACAAATTTATGTAGGTATCCTGCTTGTATGAGTTTTTCATACTATGGGGTTGCCTTTTTTTTTTATGATCTTTGTCCTTCTCTATTGATCGGCCTTCCAAGGAGTTGCTCGCCCTGGCCTCCTCGCAGTACTCCCTTAATTCTTTTAATTGCATGAACTTTGTTGCTATTCTTCGTATTTCGTCGAGGTCTATGACCGACTTTTTGCATAGTGTCGACAAAGGGTCTGGGTCTTAAGGATGTTATCAGATGGTGCAAGACGACTTTCGGGTGAAGGTTTCTTATGTTGAGGGCTATTTTGCCGAATCTCTCCATAAAAGCCTTGAGGTTCTCTTGTCGATCTTGCCTTATCTTGATTAAGGCGATCCAAGTGAGGTGATGTGGGCAACTGGTAGAGAATTGGGTTCCAAATTTGCTTACTAGAATTTCAAAGCAGTCGACTAAGTATGGGGTAGCCTAGTGAACCAGTTTAACTAGGGATGGCAAAACTTGCCAGCCCGCCCCGTTTTGGTTCGCCCCGCCTTTGGCCCGCCAAAAGCGGGGTGAGGCGGACTGACCCGTTATAGTCATGACGGGCTGCATACCTTGGTCTGCCCCGCCAAGGGACGGGTTGGCGGTCTGTCCCGTCATAATTTAGAAAAAATAATTTATTTTTTAAAATAAAAAATTTCAATAAATTTAATAATAAGATTATTATTTGTTTGTCAATAATTCAATATATATATATATATTATTTCAATTTAATAATATAAATCAATACATTATTTTAAGAAATTATAATTTAGAACAATAATAAAATTTACATAATAATAAATAATAACAATATATATATATATATATATATATATAATAATATAAATCAATACATTATTTTAAGAAATTATAATTTAGAACAATAATAAAATTTACATAATAATAAATAATAACAAATATATATATATATATATATATATATATATATATATATATATATAATGTTAAAACTTAAAAAAATTATATTTTTTATATTGAAAATTTTAAATACCTATATCTTTTTTATTTGATAAAACTTCACATTATTCTTGGTTAAGTAATTCTTACACCTTTAATTCAAGTCATAAGGATAAAAATAATCAGTGCTTAGGATGAACAAGGAGAACATGAGAGAATGTTGTCTTTCAGGTAAAGAAAATATTTGTTGTGAGAGTGAAACTTTTTTAATTCTCTTTTTTAAAATTTTAACTTTATATATTATCTTTATAATTAACTTTATTACAATAAAAAAATATTTTTTTATTAATTAGGCGGGCCACGGGCTGACCCGCCTCGTCCCGCGGGTTGGTCCGATGGGTTGGCGGGACGGGCCAAAGCGGGCTGGTGGGCTGAAAACACCAACCCGCCCCACCATATTATGGCCGGCTGGCGGGCCAGGCCTATCCCGTTTTGCCATCCTTAGTTTAACGCTGCTCTTTTTAAGGAGGTGGGAATACACGACACACAATTGTGTCATCGGTCAAGTACAAGTTGACCTATATTATGTACACATCTATGTGCTCATTTGGGTTTGTAGTCCGTCATACCAATCAATCGTTAACCCTTTCCATGTTGGTAAGGGGACCTCCAAGATCCTATCAACCGAGGGTGCTGCCACGGTCTTTGGGTAGGTGTTAGGATTTGTGTCCTCTCAAAGGGAGCACTCAGATTGAAGCATGTTTAGATTTGTATGACCAGGGAGGATGATCGTGTGCTAGTTGGTTGCTCCCGAATGATCTTGGACTTCTTGGATCATGCTCCCCTTCCTTCTCTTCTAGTTCCTAATTCGATCATTCTCCCTTTTTAACGCTATTATTTCTTTTGAACTTTCCTTTTTGAAGTTTTCGGTTTTCTCTTCATGGTGGGCTATGTCGTTTGACATTGATCATATTTCTAGTTGATATCATTGGTCGCGCTTCTGTTTGAGTCCATGGTGGGTGCCAATTATGTTTTTACAAGGCCGAATACAAACCTACCTTCATTGTGAACTGTTATCCGCTTTGATATTCATACCGTAGTTCTCAACTTCAACTCTCGATTCTCAACTTCCGTTCCCAGTACTCGACTTCCATGATAGAGATAAAAAATCAGTGGTGGAATTACATGCAAAGATACTCCGAAACTCAAAAGTTAATAATAAATGTCATCAATTAGATAGACTTAAAATTTATCTTGTATTTCTATATTTTTATAATAATTATGTGATTGATAAAACTCGAGTTTTTTTAGGTGGGAGTATGGGGAGTACAATTTTGATGATAATTTTTTATCTTATTAGCTTGTAACATTTTTTTTAATGGCAATTTGAAACAATTATTTGAAATAAGCAAACAATTTATTATTTTGATTTTACCCTTATTATTTTTATGATGTTTTCTCACTCTACGATTATTTATATATAAAAATATGATATTTAGAGGTGGCCAAATTTCAAGAACTGTAACGACATGGTTATATTTTTTTATTTTTTCTAATTAAGTTTATTACTGTCTCCGGTGTGAAGATTCTTTTTGGAATTTGAGGTTGTCAAATTTGGGTGGTCGAGATGCATTCAGAAAGCGGGGTTTCACCGAAGAAGGGATTGGAAGCTGAAGTTTTGAATTCAAAGGAAAACCTTAGCGGCAAAAACATGATATTTAGAACAGAAAAAATTGATTTGAGGAGCTTGGATGTGATGCTAGAAAAACACTTGACCAAGATTTTTACCAAAGGCATTGCTAAAAGGCATAAAGAGGCATGGGAGATTGATTTGGCCAAATTGGATTTACATTATTCTGTAGCTAAGGGAACCTATGGTACTGTCTACAAGGGTACCTATGACAGCAAAGATGTTGCAGGTATTGTATTCTTATACTCATTATCTGCTTTTATTGAAGAAAACAAAAATATTAGCAAAGATAATTGAAATGTATTGTTCAATGCCTTCAGATTCTAAAAATTTTTGTACACACTCTCTGAATTTTGAGAATTCGTTTTTTGGTTGATGGATAATTTGGATCAAGGACTGTGAAGATGTGTCCTTATTATGAATTTTTTTTTAATTTATTATCTGATAATTTGATTTTGAAATTGTATTGGATTTTTTTATGTGATTACATAAAATCCAACTTTACCCAGTCTTTTATACATTAAACAACGAATTTTATACATTTAACGACAAATCTAATCTATTCCGTTTCATCAAAATTATAATACCATATTTATATTAATAATAAAACTAATATAATTATATTTAATTTGTTCAATTATTATATTAATTAAATATATGTTTTTAAATTAAGTTATTTAAATATTAAATAATATAGTCTATTTAAAAAACACTTTAACAAATTTCATAAAAATATATCTTGAAATTAACTTTTGTAATAAAAACATTATATTAAAAAATTATGATCCAATTAATAATTGGATGAAATTGGATATAATAAAAACTTAAAAATTCAGTTCGAACCCAATTTTTTTGATTAAGTAGAATCATTGATTTAGATTCCAATCCAACATGTAAACCCCCACCCATCCCACTTCACAAAACACGCTTGGAGAAATTCTCACTGTATTATCTATCTTATTGAATTTTCTAGTGAAAGTGTTGGACTGGGGTGAAGATGGTGTTGCCACCGCTAATGAAATTGCTTCTTTACGAGCATCATTTTGGCAGGAGGTTACTGTATGGCAAAAACTTGATCACCCAAATGTCACAAAAGTACAAATTTCTAGTCTTCACACTCTCATTTAACGTGTTTATATCCATGACTACTACTAGGCAAATTCTGCGTGCAACATGTGCTTAGATTTTCCTTTCTTTTAAATGTTAGTAAAAGTTCAAATTGTTCATATCTTTCTTCCAACAGTTTATTGGAGCTTCAGTGGCCACTTCAAATCTTATGATTCCCTTACCAACCTACGGTCAAAATTCTCTTCCTTCCAAGACGTGCTGTGTTATTGCTGAGTTTCTTCCCGGTGGAACCCTGAGACAATACTTGTTTAGAAATAGGCGGAACAAACTTCCATATAAGGTTGTGATTCAGCTGGCTTTGGACCTCTCTAGAGGGTGAGTCTCATAGCATTTACCTTTACAATTTTGTTGATATCAACACTATTTTCCCCCTCACGGAAACTCTTTTTTCCCTGCAGTCTGAGTTATTTACATTCAAAGAAAATTGTTCACCGCGATGTAAAGCCTGATAATATGTTGTTAGACGCTAATCAAAATTTGAAAATAGCTGATTTTGGAGTTGCTCGTGTTGATTCTACCGATGAAAGTGAGATGACAAGTGAAACTGGAACCTATGGATATATGGCACCGGAGGTATTAATAATTTGCTTTCGAATTTGCTCTTGATAGTTCAATTGCATAGGATGGCTGAATATCAAATACATTATTACACGTGAGTGTTGGAAAGGAAATCCCATTTAAATACTCCTCTTCAATATTTCTCTTGTAGGTTTTAAGTGGCAAGCCTTACAACAGAAAATGTGATGTCTATAGTTTTGGCATTTGCTTGTGGGAAATTTATTGCCGTAAATTGCCGATTTCAAAGCTGAGCCTTGTTACTGTGTCATGTGCAGTAATGAATCAGGTCAGTTCATAAAATGAACTGTTTCTGTCCACTCTCGTATTCACACCGTCTTCTCTCAACGTTGGATGATGTAGTTTTAGTCTTTTGTTCATACGCACACATATACATCTTATACTAAACTCTTTTGGCTAAAGACCACAAGAAATGGAAATATTTTAAATTATATATATTTTATTAAAGCTGTGGTCTATTTTAGTGTTTTTTTTTAAATAGAAATATTTGATTGGAAGCATGCTAGGTAGAATCAGTTATTAATGTAGAGAAGGAAGACCAAGATTCTTGAAGACCTGACTCATTGATGCAACCGTGGGGTTTAAATGAGCGGGATTTTGAAAATTCTTTAGGAACTTTTTCTGGTGGATTTGGAAGTCCAATTGAACTACCCAATGAAGAATGGTCCATCTTACCTTCAATTGGACTGGGTCTAGGTTCATTTGTTCAAATTACCGGGGGAGACTTTTTGAAGTCCATGAGTCCTTCCCTTTTTAGAAATGCCAAGAATTGTGGTTACCTCGTTACTCAGGCTTATAATCCAGTTGTTCTACCTGCAAAAATGGGTACTAATATATTGGATATACTGCTGCATGTGGCATCTGATGGAGTTGACGAGCTTTGTGATCATATCCATAAGTTATTGCCTGGAAAATCTATTGAGTATATTGCGTGGGAAGCCACAACCAACAAAGGGACTCCAGGAAGGTAAGCAACAGTTTTTGTGGCATTACTTGTGAAAAACTCATTTTAATTTGAATTCTTTTACTGATCTCCTTTCTTAATTCTGTTTCAGGCAGAGGTAATGTCAGCATGATTTGTTTGATGAATTTCCATCTAATTTTTAACATATGAAGGAATGAGCTTGGACACTGTATCCATCCCAACATGCAAAGACGCCTTCCATTGGTGACGATGGTGGAGAAATTGGTGACGATGATCATGGATTGGTGGTGTGGTCAATAACATTAGATAAGTGGTTGAAAATATTCCAATCAAATATTTCAATTAAAAAAAACTAAAATCAGAAAATACGATTAAAAAAAAGGCTCACCTTATTTAACACGATTTAAAAAAAAATATATATATATATATATATCCAATTTATTATCATAAAAACTGATAAAAGACACAAACAAAATATAAACACGATTCTTAAAGAATTATCCGTAGTGTAGAAAATTCCCAAGATACAACAGAAACCTTTTAACACCAGCAACTCAAAAACTAAAAAAACCTAATAAAATCTTTTCTTGATTGTGAGTACGAGTACTTCTGTATATTTATTTGAAAGAATTTAATCATGGAATACCTCCCTAACATACTTATGCAACACCTATCTGTAAAATATGTGCATGCTGCTTGCTGAATGATCATGTGCATGTCTATGAAATAAATTGTTTAGAATGGTTAAACTGATTACTGTTGGACTATATATATAACTAAATGGTTATATGTATAGATTGGCAGGGGATGTGGTTTTGTTGTGAAAATGAAATGTGGAAAGTGAGTATCATAATTCTGGAAATAGTTTGTTCTGTTTACGTTGAGAACAATCAACACCGCCTAGTTTCCTAATATATAATGCTCATGGTCATATTTTGTTGCGCAGCATTTACGACCTGAGATTCCAAGAAGTTGTCCAGGCGCCTTAGCAAACATCATAAGAAAATGCTGGGATGCAAAACCAGATAGGCGTCCAGAAATGCATGAGGTGGTGGAAATGTTGGAAGCGATTGACACTAGCCAAGGAGAGGTGATATTGGAGAGTAAAAATCGATTTTTTAGTTCGTGTTTTATGCCTTCTCGTTGTTCCTCGCACTCACGTTCAGATCCTTGATCAGTATCTGTACATCAGGGAGGTCATAGCCTACGAAATTTTATAGTATAAATTGTAGCTTGCAATTTGCCATTTTCAATATTTATAGACATAAGTTCTTAGAAAATACTATATATTGTACAGAAAACATTTCATAACTGTATAATTCCAACAAACACTGCTATGTAGACATTTATATTATATTACAACTTTTATTTAATAATGTAATAGTAATAAATATAAAAATATTAATTTTTATAAATATTATATTATTCTTTCTGTTTCTTATATTCGTCATTTAAGATTTAATTATACAAATTAATGAAAACAATACTTTTTAAATAATATTTTTATCATTTTAATTTGATTTTAATTTTTTTTAATAATTTATTATTTTTTATCAATATAATTAAAAATATAATTGAAAAAAATAGTAAATATAATCTTAAATTTTACTTATAATATATATAAAAACAATTTTTTTTCTAAAAAATATATTTAAAAGACTAGAGGGAATAATAAAAAGTGTGCTGTTGCCATACCTATCATTAATATGTGTGTTCAAACCTAAATTAATAAAAATTAATTCAAATTTTTAAAATTGATTAAAATTGAATTTTTTTAATTTATTTTTTCTTTTATCAAGCACAGTTTAATTCAAAATTTGGATTGAAAATCGATAATTTAATCAAATTGATTTTTTTAATGATTTCTTTTTAACTTGTCACTTCTCATGATTGGAAAGTATTTTTTTTATCTTTTAAAATATATTTTTTTTGTAAAACAATTTAATCTAAATAGGTCTTAACATAATTCAGAATAATAATAATATTATACTAATTGATTGTGTGAAAAAAAATTAGCATTTACTAAATAATCACGAGGCATGTCTTTCACGTACAACAGAAATTAATATACTATTTGCATATATATATTGTTGGTTTTTTAATGTCCTATCAGTTTATGACGAACATAATCAAATACTTTATTACATGATAGATTATGCTGTTCACTAAATCATAGTCACAGAGTTGATAATATTAGAAATATTTATTTTACTTTTTTTTGTGAAATCGACGAGTAAATTATTTTGTATTTTATATCATTGGTGTGAGCACTTGGCAAATAAAAAGAACTTGTCATACTCCATATGGTGGTTTCATTTTATCTTCCACAAACACCATTCTTTTGCTTTAACATAATTGAGTTCAGAGGAACAGACCTGGACTGTTTTAGTGGAGAGGTTCAATTCAATCATTTCATTGCAAAATTATTTTCAAACCAACCCAACTTTCTTTTCCTCCTTGTCTTTATCTTCAAGTTTCCACATCGACTTTTGTTCGGCCAGATTCATGGTACTCCAAAATTCTATTATTTCTTTTCTAACATATCTTAATACGAATTATTTAATTTGCTTGTTAAAGTTTAATATATATATATATAGATTTAAATATTTAATTTAAATATTTAATTTCTCATTTATTTTCATGTATTGTTACTTTCATTTTTTATCTTATCCTAAACATTCCATTAGTTATCTTTCAACCTCATCTTTAGACAGACATTCGTGTTCGCACAGATTAAGACAATGACCTGTTTAACGATAAGCATAAACAATGCATATATTTTATATTTTACCGTACATCTCAATTATTTAAGATGTTACAAAATTTCTATGGCATGAAACTTTTTTCACAACTCACATGTTATTAAGACGTGTAAGCTATCGCTTGTCCTAAGTAGCTCATTCGAAACTATTACACCCCGGATATATATAAAACCTAATTCAATTCGTATCCATCTAAAAGAAAATACAAACTTTGTAAATCCATCAAATTTGTGTACTTAAAAGATATAATAAATATTCGTTTCCAAGTAAGGCAACTAAAAAATACACCCGAAGAAGAAATTCAGAAGAAAAAAAGAGAAATGAATATAGATTTTTCATATATGCTGAAATTTATAACTTCAATTAATATTTTAAAAATTATATTAGTTTTCCAACAATTTTACTCTGTTTCAAACGAACATTTGAAAAAAAAATAATAATAATTTATCCTCTGTCGATATTAAAAATTGTAAAAATTGTCACAATCAATAGAGAGGGAATATATTCTTCCGAATAAATTATGGAAGAAATTTCCACTGTGTATATGATTAAACTCGTCCTATATGAAAAACAAATGAATTTGGTTCCATGCCTCATAATGTGCACCAACATAAGAGATTTTTTTTTCAAAGCAAAAGGACGACAAGATAACGAAAATCAGATGCATTTCATTCATAAACTATAGCCTAGAATGCTCTAAAGCAAAAGAACACCGAAAATATTACTTGGTAAAACATTTATTCAATAAATTTTAAAATAACGGATACAAGGAGAATATATACATGAAAAAAGAAGAAGAAGAATATATTACTTGTCCACTTCCATTCAAATAATTTTTTATGTAAAATATAACTCTTTTTCATTATCAATTAATTATTTAACTGAATAAAGTTTAATTCAATAAAATCAACAAGATAACATTAAGGTGACGTGGTATGCTCTAATTAAAAGTATATATTAAAGTGAAAGTCTGTGTATTATTTAAGATTAAATACGGGAATGGCTAAAAATGAGAATGAATACTATGTTGGGGGTTATAATAGTAATTGCGAAATCCTTTTCGTCCGCGGTGTGTTGTGTATAAGATGGCACTTCACAACTCCTTCGTCAACTTGGAAATTAAGCATATTACGCCGATCGCGACGTAGGTGTCATGGGGTTAGAAGGGAAGGGAACGTCGTCATTTTTTAGGGATTTTCTTGACGAGTGTGGTGGCTCCGCCGTCATTGACGGTGGCTTTGCCACTGAACTCGAACGTCACGGGGCGGACCTCAATGACCAACTTTGGAGCGCCAAATGCCTCGTTAGTTCTTCATCTCATCTTGTCCGAAGGGTACTTCTCTTCCTTCCTTCCTTCTCTTCTTCATCTTCAATTGATTATTTTATTTTGCTATCGGTTCCACTTTTTTCTCAAGTTCTATAAAAACGGTGCATGTTTGTTGATAGGTTACCCCAACCACTAGAATTTCTTTAATTTTTATTTTAAAATTATATCTCTGCTGATGCTTTTGGGTTCAGTTGGTTGATAAAATTCGCATTTTTGGAAAATAGGGAGAAAGTATGATATTCACTTAAAACTACAGTGTAGATTTATTTTGTAGTCTTGAATTTTAAGTCTGAGATATTTATGCGTGCATAAAGATGAAAATTTGTTGTTTTTTTTTTTTTTATAAATAATCGATAGGTTCAAAATATAATTATAATAAATAGCTTTTATTTTTTTTATTTATTTTTATGAAAAAGTGGTGTGTTAAAAATAGACGTTAAGAAAATGATAGCATCGGATAGACCTACTTACTTCAAAATGAAAGAGCAAAGAAAATTGCGTAAGAGAAAAGACGAGGAACGAATTTAATATGCACACGTGTCAAAATATCGTGTCCACCCGTTATTGTCGAATGTTACGTGTAAGGCATTGGCATTTGCGATTTTCTTTTCATTGTAAATGTGTATTATGGACAGAATAATTTATATTTAAGTTTAACTCCACATTTTACATTTATGTACTAAATGATATTATGATTGTGTTTTTATTAGAATATACAGTAATATTTTTTAAGAGACTTAAAAGGTTAATTTTACTAAAAATATCAAATTTTAATGATCTTAAAGGATAGTTTTATCCAACGATGAAAATTTAGGATGATGTTGCTGTAAATTAATGATAAAAAGGTATATATAATAATTGTGAATAGAAATTAATCTAAAAAAGAAAAATGAAATCATGAAAGCAAAGAAATTTGTGTATTTTATAATATTGCCAATTTTATTTGCTTTATTCTCGATAAGATACACTGAACTTTCGTAAAAGATTACCATTACTTTAATTAGAGGACCTTATCTTATAGATGAGGCTGACATGTTTGCATATATATATATATATATATATATATATATATATATATATATATATATATAATTTCATTACAAACACATTAAACTGTTTATATCCTTTTAACCAAACAGTTTTTTCTAAACGAAAGGAAGACTAAAAGCAGAAGGCCAAATTTACCAATTCCATCCAAGTGTTGCCTGTGTGGATCTTGATAATATAAAAAATATTTTATTTTGTTTATAATATATATTCATTATTTATTTATTTTATTACTGATTTAATATTTAGTTTTAGTTTTTTTTAAAGTAATGATTAATGTTAGATATCGTTATTAGAATATTTTATTTAATGAAAATTCAATTATCATAATTGTACACAAATAATGTGATGGTAGTAGATAATTGTTTTTATTTAAAAACAATATATATTATTAAAATTTAACATTAATATAAAATATTATATTGTTAGTACCAATTAAAATATTTTTACTATTTTTATATGAAATAAAAATATTTACAAATTTTTTCGCTCCTTTTGAAAAATAAATAAATATTTTTATTTAAATAATTTAATATATTAATGTCATTACATAGTGAATGATACATGGAGAGAGAGAGAGGAATGTGGACCATTAAATTGTGTATAAAAGGATCAATATTGAAACATATAATCATGTAATTTTTTAATAACATTTAAAGTATTTATATAATTAAAATTTAAATATTTAATTTTCAACTAAAAATAGCCTACTCATGGGTAGCAAACAAAGAACAAATAGAAATAGCTAGTTCCAGTGTATGTTCTATATTTTTCTTTTTTTGTATTTATTTACCTTTCCTTTAAAAAGGTTCCGAGTATAATAGAACCGGGGGAAAATATAATAGAAGCCTCACTTTAGTTTGTCATTAACAACAGTTTGCCTAACGTGTGACAGGTCCACCTAGATTACCTCGATGCAGGAGCAAACATAATATTAACAGCATCTTATCAGGTAGTAATTATCATCTGAACCTTTTTCCATCCCTACAATACAATACAACTTTAATTTTGGCTTTTTTCTGGGATTGGGTGCAGGCCACTATTCAAGGTTTTGAGGCCAAAGGGTTCTCTAGAGAGGAAGGTGTAACTCTGCTTCGAAGAAGTGTAGAGATTGCACGTGAGGCTCGAGAAATTTATCATGATAGGTGTACCAAAGATTCTTCTGACTTTATGAGAAATGAAAGATATAGGAAACGTCCCATTTTAATTGCAGCTTCTGTGGGAAGCTATGGAGCGTATTTGGCAGATGGCTCTGAATATATGTGAGTGAATAAAACCAATTATGTCAAAATAGTCACCAAAGTTGGACTTTCGTTACTTCTAATCGATATTCACTGGTTTGTCATAGCAAACATGCTTTACCATAAATTTTTAACAACTACTGAATACCTGCTTTACTGATTATATATATATATATATATATGAATTAAGATGAGAATTTTCACGATCGAAGCAAAAACTGTAATTCTAAATTAAACCAATATATATGACCAAAGTCTACGCCGACTTGCTTTCTCTCTTCACAGTGGGGACTATGGTGATGCAGTTACTGTCCAGACACTGAAAGATTTTCATAGGGAAAGAGTAAAGGTTCTAGTTGATGCTGGTGCTGACTTAATAGCCTTTGAAACAATTCCAAATAAGCTGGAGGCACAGGTATTTTATTAAATCCCTGGCGGTGAAGCAACTAACAAGCAGATTCACCTGTTTGTTACTTTATTTTTATGTCTGCAAGACTGCACCTGTAGGAATCTGTAATGGAGTGTGCAAAATGCAGTGTCAATTATCATTTACTAATACCGTAGGCAGTTGTAAACTACCGTTGCGATTTTGCCTTTTTGTTTCACCTTAATTTTGAGTAACGTTTTTTATTTTGTTTACAATTTTATATATAGGCTTATGCTGAACTTCTCGAGGAAGAAGGCATAGAAACTCCTGCGTGGTTTTCTTTCAGTTGCAAGGATGAAAGCAATGTGGTTAGTGGTGATTCTATTTTTGAATGTGCTTCAATAGCTGATTCATGCAAACAAGTTCTTGCAGTTGGAGTTAACTGTACTGCTCCAAGATTTATTCATGGATTGATTTCATCTATTAAGAAGGTGCGACTTTTGTGTAACACTCTGTGCTCTACGCAATGAAAATGTGCTAATTTGCTATGTTGTTTTGAATAACTTGGTCTTCTATACTTTTAGTTCCTCAAATTATATAGTTTTAGGAAAGGATTACATTTGCTTTTGAAGTCATTAGACGTGTTATGTAGGATGTATGAAATGTCTTTTAACTAATGCCCTTAAGATACTCATTAATAGCAAGGCCTTATATAGTGTTCTCAATTGAGAAATGTTAATGTTAATATCACTTTTTGTTTTTTTTTGTCCCCATAACAGCTTATTACTAACATTATTTTTTCAACACTCCATTTTAAAGGCAACAAGTAAACCAGTACTTGTATATCCCAACAGCGGAGAGACTTATATTGCTGAGAGCAACCAATGGGTGGTGAGTTGCTGCTTCTCTGCTCTCTCTTTGCATGTCCTCGCTTTATTCATGTTCAAGTTCAACCAACTTCAATCTAATTGCAGCAAAACTCTTTTTTTTTTT